CAGCGTGAGCGGCCAGCAGCCGCAGTGAGCGGCCGTCCAGAAGCCGGCGACTGATCTGCCTCCCCGGGAAGAATGCAATGATGGTGCCAACTTGGGCCAGTGAAGCAACATCCTCCACAACTAGACTGAAGAACAAAAAAACAGCAACTTGTCTGTTCCCCTTCCCCCAATTCCCCAGCACTGTTCCCATCCCCGCAATTCCCCAATAAAAATCTTTAAAAAAAAAAAATCAGGCTCCCAAAGTATTCTGGGATGCAATAGAAGAACATCTTAAGAACCCCAGTTTAAAGATCTCTTAGTTTTATTTCCTCTTCTCTGGAGTGCTAATCCAAGTGCAGGACTGAAAAGTTTCCCAGACCCAATTCCAACATGGCGGGGTTCCCCCCACAACAAACCATTCTCAGACACCAATAGAGTATCCAAGAAGTTGACTCAATTCTGACACTATCTACCTGGAGATAACATCAGATTCCACAGATTAAGGGTTCAGTCCTACAAGACGACCCCCATTTCCCTACACACACACACACACACACACACACACACACACACACACACACACTTCAGTAGCCAGCCTCAAGCCCAGGTTCTCTGTGCTTCTGACCAACTGGCCATAGACTGGAGCTTCCAATGACCCCCTCTATCAGAATGCCAACCCTAAGTCCAGGTTCTTACCTGTGTTTCTGAACAACTGGCTGTAAATCAGAGGTTCCCACAACACTCTCCTTGGGCTTGATTAATTTGCTAGAGTGGCTCACAGAACTCACAGAAACAGTTTACTTACTAGATCACTGGTTTATTAAAAAAGAACATAACTCAGAAATAGACAGATGGAAGAGATACACAGGGCCTGGTGTGTGGGGAGAGGCGCATCACTCTCCCAGCATCTTTATGTCTTCACCAAACCAGAACCTCTTTGAAAAAGGCATAAAGCAGTTGGCCTCCTGGGTTTTTGTGGAGGCTTCATTACATCATGCTTGACTACATCTTTGGCCATTGGCGATTGAACTCAATCTTCAGCCCCCTTCCTTCCCCGGAAATCAGAGGTTGGGACTGAAAGTTCCAAACCTCTAATTACATGGTTGGTTCTCCTGGCATTCAGCCCCCACCTTGGGTGCAGTCCAAAACTCACCTCCTTAACATAACAAAAGACACCATCCTCACTCTCACCACTTAGCAAATACCAAGGATTTGGGGAGCTGTGAGTCAGGGACTGTGGGAGAAGACCAAATAGTTTATAAATGACAAAATCACTGTGGCTTCTAAGCAATAGTATATATCGTGTAGCAGAAGCAGAAGTGGGTTGTGGTGAGCAGTCTCTGCCACAGTGCGGTGGGCACTCCCAGAGGAGGGCTCGGCAGACAGCACAGCAGGTGTGCCCACACGCACCGGCCTCTGAGTCCAGAGAACGTGCCTGGCAACCACATTCTGGCCAATCAGCTCCTGGAACAGCTGGGTGATCTCAAAGGACTTCTCCAGGAGTTGCCTTGGATGCCCACCATTATTTCTGGAAGGATCCTTTGCTGCAGTTATACATGACATACTTTACTTTGAACCCTGCTTTTTTTTTCTGGGCTTACTGGGGTCACAGACCTGTAGAATTAGCCTCTCTGCCTTGTGCAAGCTTCATTGCCAGGGGTCTCTCCCAGATTTCCAGTCATCTTCTTAAGGGATCTGGGAGTACCCCAATTTATCCCCTATTCATTTCCCATACCACATGAGGGTCTATGTTCAAATTAGATGTAAGTTTGCATAAATTCCCCATACCCACTTATTTAATGAATATTTATTAAGCATCTATTGATCCGTGCATCGTGCTGGATGCAATGTAATAAAAGAAACAGAAGATGTAGAATGCTTAGAATATCTTTTATTAAACATTCAACAGCTGATAACAGTATGTTTCCTCCCACCCCATTGGATTTCCTTGTCTCTAATGAAATTTTTAGGATACCTGGTCCCAGAGCAGTTCAGAGAAAACGCAAGGTAGAATTCAGTCACTACCTAGGTCTTTGTA